TGGATGGTTCTGAGCCGGTTGGATGGTTCTGAGCCAGTTGGATGGTTTTGAGCCAGTTGGATGGTTCTGAGCTGGTCAGATGGTTCTGAGCCAGTCAGATGGTTCTGAGCTGGTTGGACGGTTCTGAGCCAGTTGGATGGTTCTGAGCCGGTTGGATGGTTCTGAGCTGGTTGGATGGTTCTGAGCCAGTCAGATGGTTCTGAGCCAGTTGGACGGTTCTGAGCCAGTTGGATGATTCTGAGCCGGTTGGATGGTTCTGAGCCAGTTGGATGGTTCTGAGCCAGTTGGATGGTTCTGAGCCAGTTGGATGGTTCTGAGCTGGTCAGATGATTCTGAGCTGGTTGGATGGTTCTGAACCGGTTGGATGATTCTGAGCTGGTCAGATGATTCTGAGCCAGTTGGATGGTTCTGAGCCAATTGGATGGTTCTGAGCCGGTTGGATGGTTTTGAACCAGTTGGATGGTTCTGAACCAGTTGGATGGTTCTGAGCCGATTGGGTGGTTCTGAGCTGGTCAGATGGTTCTGAGCTGGTTGGATGGTTCTGAGCCGGTTGGATGGTTTTGAGCCAGTTGGATGGTTCTGAGCCAATTGAATGGTTCTGAGCTGGTTAGATGGTTCTGAGCCGGTTGGATGGTTTTGAGCCAGTTGGATGGTTCTGAGCCAGTTGGATGGTTCTGAGGTGGCATCTCACTGAGCTGATCTTGTTGGAGAACATTAGAAGAAGCAGTTGCTGAAAACGGACCTTTAGCTCTGAGGTCATCAGCTTCAGCTGGAGGCAGCAGATACCCTCCTCGGCTGTTAGCTCGTTGGCTAACGGTAAATCAAAGACCGGAAGCTGCAGCTTTTGGACACCTACTTTTCAGACAACGTGCAGATTTGTGAGTTTTCTGTCTCCAGCGTGAACACATGAGGTTGTTTGGATTTAGACGGTCTCAGCAGCTGCTGAGGTTGAACCGGGTCGGACCCTGACGGTGAAAACGTCTTCCAGTTTTTGTTGCAGCTTTTCCCTGCGAGCAGCCGTGAAGGGATGAAACATGGCCGCCGCTGCAGCCCGGAGGCAGCGTCAACACAAACAGAAAAATTTAGAGTCTGGATCAAAGACCATTTGAGTCCAGACACCAACAGAACCTTGGTGTGGGTCAGGCGGTCCAGAAGAAAAGTGGTTTTGTGGGGTCCTGTCTAACTGAGCGTTTGTTTCAGGACCTGGGCAACGTGGACCTCCCCCGGGCCCGGCCCGACCTGGAGGCGGGAAAGCAGCTGCCCCGCATCTTCGCCGACATCCCGTCTCACCTGGTGGGCGTCCCCCTGGAGGACATCGACCCGTACTACTTCAAAGACAAGCGGGTGGGTCACGGCCCGGTTCTGGAGAGTGCTCGAACAGAACCAACAGAAAATTATTTAGTTTGAATGTTTTAAGTTTGGTTTCCTCCTCCGGACCTGTTCTGGTACCATCTCTGTGTCGGGTCCGTTCATAAACACACGGAGTCTGGAACAGGGTTTCAGAACCCGTGTCGTTGGGTCCTGGAGGTCCGGACCGTCTTGAGCCTGCTGGTTCTGATGCTTTTTGTTTGTTTGTCCTGCAGACGTTCATCGTCCTGAACAAAGGGAAGGCCATCTTCCGCTTCAGCGCCACGTCGGCTCTCTACACCTTCAGCCCGTTCCATCCGGTCCGCAGGATCGCCATCAAGATCCTGGTCCACTCATATCCTTCGCTGAGGGTCGGGGGGGCGGGGGCTCCACAGGTCAGCCCTGGAGGTGACCGGGAGGTGACCGGGAGGTGACCCGGGAGGTGACCCGGTGGTACCGATGCTTTCACAGATTCCTGCTCGCTGAGCTTTAAACAGAACCGAGATAGTTAGACCATTAAAGGGACATTCCACTCATTTTAGAGCAGCTACAGAGAGACTGTGAACAGATAGTGTCTTACCTGCTGCAGGTAGCTCTTTGAGCAACCTCATTCACTGCTGTCCTAAA